TTTTGTGTGGGGCCTAACGGAGAACTGATGTGTTTTTGGAGGGAAGATGGTGCGAGGGGGTGGGGGGGGGGGGGGGGGGGGGGGGGGGGGGGGGGGGGCGAGGGGGGGGGGGGGGGGGGGGGGCTGAGTGGGGTTAGTGGAGGCCTAGACTGAACTCAGTGGAGTTTTGCTCTAAATAAAAAGTAGAAAAAAATCGAAGAAACATTAGAAAAGGAGAGACATCATAAAATATTAGCCACCTTTTATACCTTCACTTTTTTTCTTCTTTACAAATCTCTGGTATAGATACAAAAGCAGTTCACAGAGGCGGATTGCTGCGATCAGTGCTCCCAAAAAGATTATTAATGAAGTAACAAGGGCGCAAAAAGCAGAATAATTCCTTTCCAGTAGAGAAAACCCGTCATCATCCATTGCGGTGGAGAGTTCGTCCTTAAAATAGAATTTTAATAATATGAGCAAAGAGCTTACTTGTTGTTAAAAAAAAGCAAGCAATAGGACCATTTCCGAGTTGCCCTTGGCCTGTTTTATTAGCGAGGACAAGTGCATATCCAGTGATATGAAAATGATTTTTTATCCGCATTGAAATAAATTGAATGGTTTTGCAATTAGACTCGTTTTGAAAGTGAGATTTTTGGAAGTATTGACGTGCAGTTGTTGACGTCCAAGGCTATGAGGGATGGGCGTAATACGTAAGGCAAAGAGAAGGACTTGTGCAGTGGAACTACACTTAGCTTTTCAGCTTAAGTTCACAAGTGCACCTCTTAGACCTTATTCACGATACCCGCCATCCTTACATTTGGTAAAGGACTGATAGGATAGGAGCGATGTCACGGGGTTTCTCAGCGGACAAACAAGTGATAAATCTGCCAATACAAGAAATCGCAGTCACGTTTATTTTATCCTAGACAACAGAACTTTTTATCTTAAAGCGATAATGGAAACGTATGGGTGAAGTGATCGTTGTTCCTTTTTTGGACGCAATAGCAACCGCAGATGTCCTCATAACAAACAATATAATGAGATATCAGTAAAACTTGTCAATTCTGGAATTGTACATTTGGCATGAGTAAAATTGTTTTCTCGTTTTGAAAGAGTTAACCAACTGACCGTCAACCGTAAAAATGCAAAGCATGAAAATATGGTGATATCGTGGATAATGTCTAATTGAAACAAATATTCCAAATAGAACATAACAGGGTTAAAACCAAACTAGCAGGAGGTATTAACAAGCGTGGTAGAGGATTTGAATTCGGAACAGCCGTGACTGAACAAATCCAGCCAGTGACCGTAGGGGAACTCGAACGCGAAACCGCCGGATTGCAGATCCGACGCGCTGATCACTCGGCCACGCCCCAACCCATAATATGTCGTAGTTATTCCTTTTTTTTTATTGGATATTGCTTTTTTGTTAATGAGCAATAGTTAGTTGATTAAAAAGTTAGCGTAAGAAGCTCAGTGAGTTACTTCCATTGATTAAACCTAATTACCTTCATTTCATCCTTGAACTGTTTCATAACAGAGTAAACATCCTCTCTGCGATGCAAAATAAGGTTTCGAATGCAGTCCTCGGCCGGCCATTGAAAGATAGTGTCTTTCTTGAATGCGAAGCCATAAGAACGTGTTCTCTCAATAATCTTAACCAAATTCAGTCTTGAATCTCTAACTTGTTGCATCCAGTAAAGTCCGTGGTACATCTCATCCATTATACCTGTCACAGTCTTATTTAGGAGAGCTTTTTGCATGTCTTCAAAGTTGTCAAAAACTGAGAAAATAAACGGAGCATGAAGACAAACAATCTCGTAAAGAGAGAGGAATTTTATGATTCCCAACGCGCAACAACTACAATTTACAATTAATTAAATCTTATATATAGCGCAACTTCCCATTGCACATGATTAAATGTGCAGTTACAATACTTGGGAGCTCTTGCCGCTTGGAACCTCAAGCATAAATTTTTTGTTGGATTTGAGAGAATAGCCACAAAACATCAATGGAACTAGTCGCATGTTACATCAGAATGAACTGGCCTGCCAGCACATGACCCACAGGAACCAGTTGCAGCTATGAATTGGAACTTTTAGGCTGAGTTACGTTCTGTTCAAGAGAACCAAGCGAATCATTTAAATGGAATACCTTTTTTAATTAAAAAAATATGCGACATAACATTTGCAAAAACCATGATTTCCAAATTCAAGTTCAAACCGGTGTTTAGACTAAAGAAAGCTGTGATGTGCTACCCAAGTATAAAATTAATGGTGAAAAAGCTAGTAAATAGAGCAAGACACGGGATTCTTTTCCCTTCAGTGCTGATCCCGTAAGCGGGAACGGAATAAATGAACTCTCGTTAATAATTAAACACGTGTATACGACCAGTTAGTCATGTTAATCTTACGTGTTGGGCTTGCTCCCTGTTTGATAACTTCTTGGAATGCTGGATTTCCCTTCAACACAGCTATCTGCAGTATGGACAATCGAGAGCACGTAACATATCACTTAGTAATTATTGGATGAGGCCGAGAACTGTGATCTGAAGGAATATAGCAGATAATATTTCCAAGGTCAAAACTTGCTTACATGTTTAATTTCCGCCGCTTTTCTGCGTAAGTTCAATGCATCCCTTTATCAGTAGTAGAAAAATTTACGATTGACGTCAATCTTTAAATCAACAGTTTTACATCGATATGTTCTTTAAAGTTCTACAAACTACTTTGCTATTCTTATAGGTAGCCTCTATCCAACAGAGTCCACAAACCTTTAATGCCCATTTCACAGACTATTAAGCTCATAAATGTGCAAACGATAACTTTAATCAATGAAAATAGCCAAAGGAAACATCTGAGTAATTTTTGATAATGAATATTATACCTTCTTTCCCACCAGGTCTACATCTTTGACAGCTGCTGTGGCGAGTGCTGTGGTAAGAGTAGCTGTCAAAACTGAACACACTGTAAGTCCAACCATGATCCACACGATAGAGAATAATCGAGCAATAACTGACTTAGGAGCTTTATCTCCGTACCTTAAAACAAGAAGAGCTTATTTTTCAATAGGTCTCAATGCTGCTCTCTGATAAAGTCTGTACCGTTGTAGTAGTGGGACGCCGAGGCGCCGATAAGAGGGACTAAATGGGGAAAACGAGAGTACTGTGTGAAGATGTGTGTGAAAACCCTTTAAAGGCACCTTTCTGTCAGAGAATGCTTGACAAATACACTGTAAGATAAACTACATGGGTTCTTATAAAGACACCGAACGAAATAACGTCGAATAAAAACTATAAAAAATTAAAACCAGCTGGAAACATCAAGGAATAAAATTCGTCATCATTATCCATTTTCATCCGAAGCCCATGAAAACCTCACTTTAAATTGAGCAAAAGTAAATGCCAGTTGTTTTTCAAAAATACCAAACTCAAGTTGAGCGAGAAATCGCTTCTCGTTACTACATTTTTTTCATTGTCAATTGACGGCTCTTTAACGTCCGGTTTGGTCGTTTTTGTTCCATATGAACCCATGCATATTATCCTTCCTGTATCCATTAAGCTTTCTATTTAAGCTGTGAATAAAATGGTAATGAGCACAATTAGCGAGGATAGAACTTTCTACTGGTACCTCATTTAGAAAATTTTAGCCTATCCTGACAGAGTTACAGACAAAAACACATTTTAAGCAACATTTGGGGAAAAAATTTACTGCCAATTTAGCTATTTACCCAAAATTCTTTGCAGATTAAATTTGTCCCTTTATTGGAAAGTAAGCCAGCCAAACTTTCATGCGAAATTAAGAAAGACGATAAAGTGGGAAACAAAAATGGCCATAAAAATAAAGGCAAAGAGGAAAAGAAGAAAAGAGAAAAGAGATCGAAATAGATTCGCCAAATTTTGGCTTATGCGGATGCACGAAAAACAAAAAAGCTGCCTACATCCAATTAGCAGAAAATTATGTCTTCTTGTTTCAAATCTCTCTTTTATTTTTAGCTATTCCCATGCTAACTGGCCGAAAAACGGTTCAAAAAGGAAGATTTGGTAAAAAATGCGGTAAGTTACACTTGTAAATTACACGTGTAAAAGTTTTATTAAATTGATCCCTGTTGCAAGTTAATTGACCGGTTGTCATCCAACCACCATATAGAAATTGCTGTATGCAAATTAGGGCACATGAATTATATACGAACTTCGTTTAGTTAACTGGCAGGCACGTAGCATGCAAAGAATGCAAAGGAGTAACATTTTTGCACAAGAAACCTCCAAGCACTAAGCGTTAGGCTGACATTGAAGATTTCTTATTCTTTCCAGTCACTTTTATGCATAAAGCACTTTATATGCTGATACTTTTAAAACCGCGTACTTCTTTAACGAATCAGCTGTCCGCACATGGAAACCGCATGTGTTTGAAACCGTTTTCCAGAGTGGATTTTTTTCTTATCCGAAGCGTTTGGTGATTTCGTGTAGACGACTGCCGACCGGATATTTTTGAAGTCAAGTACTACATAAACTCAAAAATGCCGCGAAATCACATCGCGAGTTCGGTTTTTGCGCATGCCTAGTAGCTAGTAATTAGCAAAATAATGTAAGTCGCAGTAGTGTATTCCTACGGATGGGTGAATCCAAACCGGATACACCACAACAAATATTAGTGTTCAGCGCAAATAACAATAATGCGGTTTTAGTGTATCCGGATTCGTGTGGAAGTGCATTGCCTAAATTTGCTTTTATTAGTGATGGTGCAGTTGAATTTTGATTCACTTACCCAACGGTTGACATGGTAACGAAGGCCCACCAGAAACCTTCAAATGCCCCACGATGAAAACGACGAGGGAATTCATCTGTATTCCATGTTGTCTCCTGTTAAATAAAACAAAAATTAAAGGATATGTCTATTTAGCCTTTGCACTTGTCAAATTCAACTGGATATGCCTGGTCGGTTGTAAACACGCCGGTTCGCTTGTACGTTTACACCACAATGTGTTTACATCATGTACCTTGATACTCTAAACGGGCCACAGGTATTCAAACAGTGGCTTCGTCAGAGCCAGAGGTCTACAAACCCGGGACGGGAAACCACTGAAGGGTAGTTTGTGTAAGGATTTACCACTGAGGCCATCAAACCATGCCATAACCCTTCATTTTGCTACCCTGTTTAATTTAAGAAAAGAGACCCTTTTTCGTGGCCTAAATATACGACTTTGTCCAAGAACGTTTGTCACTTTAAATTTGGAGTCAGTTAGTTTTTTTGGTTCTAAAAACCGGTCACATTACAATGTCGGCCGCGCAGCAGCAAGGATCACATCCCGCAGCATTGTATATACGTTTAAGCCAAATAAGGAAGTGCCCCCAGGAGCCAAATATTATATTACGTATCTTTTCAGGTGGTCAATCTTGCCACCTTATCAATTCAGTTTTGAGTACTTCATTCCCTACCGACAACACAGTTTCCGTTTAGAAACTTACTCCATCTCGTTGTAAATAGGGCTGAAAATGAAGATATAATAAGTAAATGTGGTTGTTTATCATTTACAAGAAGTTTCCGTAAAAGCGGTTGGAAAGTAAATGGAACACGATTTCTCGGGTCGTTTAGGTGGAAATTTTCCGAGAGCAACATATTAACGTCTGAAAAGGTAGAACCGTTTTTCCCGGTGGGAGTTCGCGTTCCGTTTCTTCAAACCACCTTTGATACCATGTTCAGGCCTTCGCGGTCATTTTCCGGTAAAAGGAACTGATTTGTACTCTTGAAGGTAAACGTGATTCCCGGACGAAATTTACTAGTCTTAAATTTTGCTCACCATTTACCCAAACTGTGAACCGAACGGTTTGCCAATGCAAATAGGAAACACCATGTATTTATTCCAACCAGATTTGGATTTTCCCCAAAAAGCGCAATGATACTTACCAGCGCCCAGACACAAATACCAGAGATTGCGCATAACAACACTGAGATGAGCACAATCGGCCACTGTTTGTAAATGGTTTTCCATAGAACCTTCAAATGATTCTGTTTGACATCATCCTTGTTTCCAATAACAACCAACCCGGGAGATTCAAGGACTTTGATAAATGCCAATGTACCTCCATATTGCTGGTCAAAAAACTCATTTTCAATGTATACTGGCATTCCTATAGAAGCTTTATCATAAAAGATATTAGCATGTAACGTATCTATGTTTTCCGCTTTGTGGGTATATTCAAAGCGTGTCCCCCTGTTGTCGAAATGTTTGCAACAAAACTGAACAGCGCGCCCTATTATACTGTAGAATACACCGTCTAACTTTTCAGTTTGTCTCGTGCTGTTCTTAGGCTGAGAAATAAAAGGAGCAAATGACAGCCATGTTATGTTGATTACTCGGGAGCAAAGCGGTGGGTTGCAATTAGGTGTTTCTCGAACCGACGCTTCCGTGGAAAAGGTCGATACGTTTTCACCAAGGGATGTTGGCACCATCGTGGTACGATCTTGAGTGTTGTTGGTTAACCCAATGTAATAGGATGACGTCTTATCTGTCGGGTTTGTCGTAATGCTAGTAGGACGAATGGTACCATTTCTCGATGTGTTCGACGGAAGGCAAGACGAACCGTTTTCGTCGGAGCTACTTTGCTTCAGTTCCAAAATTTTGATCATCAAGTAATTCAATTCTCCCTCGTTTTGCGCCAAGCAGACAAGTAAAAAGCGAAAAGTAAAAGCAATGACAACAAACTGAGGTTGGGAAAACATTTTCAAAAATTCAGTATCTTTGATTGTTTAAACACCGAGCAATGCTCTGAAGCGTCATCTGCTGTTAATTCCAAATTTACATACACGTACATACATAAACTTTGGAGAATGGGGCTGGTTTTCATAGTACTGCAGCTGTTTATTAGCCATCTACTCCTATGAAAGTGACTAAGTCAGTCCTAGCCGGCACCACCAGGTCGGGTCCCGCAGAGAGCTAAAATGCAAATGGATCTCAATTTAGAATTTAATAGCTTCCTAACCTTTGGCATGGGTCGCACTTGGGAAAAGTTTTCATCTTTGCCGGCTAAAAAACCACAAAAATTCGAAACCGCAACCGGAAAAGAAAACTTTTAGTCCAACCGAGGAGGGTCGCATTAGTGGGAGTTAATAGTTTTTTTGCTTTGACACATTAAGAACTTAAGAACGCCAGATACCAGAAAACATTCGTCCGAACCTTTGTCGAAGGATCTTTTTCCTCCATTCCCAGTTTCAGGAGGATGGGACAGATAAAGAAGACCAGAAATTCCTTGGATGCGAATAGTGCATTTGGCTTGGAGAATAACAAACCTGTGAAGTGTTTGCTTGTGTAGACGGGAAGTGGTTCGTCTTCAATAGAGCTAGTTCCCGTAAAAACCTTAAACGGAGGTTTATAAGTTAGTGAACTCCCTGCCTGTAAAGAGTTTTCGAAAAAAACTTGAAATGGCGAAGGATAGCCGAGTAGAAGCCTCTTCGCGAAGGTCTGAAAATTCGACCGCGTTTATTTTAAATTGATCGTGTTTCAAATGGATCACGCTCAT